CTTAGAATTATGCTCTATAACACCCATGTTTATCTCTCTGGTCCTCTAGTGTGAATTAAAACCTTTAAGACTACTTTTACATTCAAAAGGGAGAAATATTCTGACTTGGAGAGGAGTAATTAGGATGCTCTAATCATCATGCTGTTCATTGTCATAGTTTTGTTACAAGGAGCAGAGACATTTTGAGAAGAAAAAAGAAGATAAAAAGACTCCACACCTGATAGAGACACAGAGAGAGAAGAGACAGAAATGCAGTCTGTAGCAGACACTTAGACCTAAGTAGATATACAGACAGACAAGTGGACAAACAGAGTGACTGACACATTATATTAAATATATAGATCTATATATTATGATGAATTTTCTTTTCACTCTCTTTCAATGAATGAAACAACGACACTTACTGGTATGTCCACACTTCTGTCCTGTATAAAAAGTGATCAAAAGACTATTTTGTCTGAGGGAGCTATGCATTTTAAAGTTGATAAAACATTGATGTCCATATTCTATCATTCTACCCTAGAAAGTAAGATTAATTTTTGTATAACAGCATGGGCCGGGAACACAAGACAACAAGATAAAGAAAAATTAAACTGATTGATACGGAAAGCATGGAAAATTTCGGGAGGAATTCCGTAACGAGCGACCACCAAGGAACAGAGTAGATATAGAGGGTGAGGGATAGGATTAGGGTTTGGGATATGGTTAGGGTTAGGTCTCTTCCTTGTTGAGCTTGTTAATGTTGGGGTGGTCGCTCGTTATGGGAGTACTTCCAAAATTTCAAGATCTACATTCCCCTACTTTGATGAATTGTACCTTACAGCTTGCACTGAAAATTTTAAAAAATTCCATCCCTCAAATTAAAACACAAGTTAGAAGTGTAAAAGACCTAGATCTAGGCTTCTGACCCGTAACAAAGAAAGATACAGCAGGTCATTTTTACCATCATCCATCAAAATTCTTCCACCTTAACCATCTTGTTTCAAGTATTCATAAGACCTTTAGAGCATGCATCAGAATAACATTGAGTTTGAGTTACCGTCAGAATACTGAGTCTAGCTTAAGATTTTAAATATTGTATTACTGTTCATTTATATCGTGCATGTGGCTGTAAACATCACTTCAGACTCATCACTCAAATGCATGTAGGCCTATTTGCTTCACCCTCACTGCTACTAATTACCTAAAACCTCAAACGTTTTGCAGCCTTCCCCTTTCCTTTACCCCTCTTTTTTCTCATTTCATCCTTTTTTTCCTGCTCTCCTCAGTCTTTCTCTGCTTTTCTTTTCTGCATGTTTTCTTTTCTTCTCTTCTTCATTGGTTGCTTTCTTTTAGATCCCTACTTCCTCTCCTCACTCTGTTTTGCTTCTTCCATGTCTTTAAAATTATATGTCATTGTTTCTTCACTGGTTCAAGCCACATATAGTTGGGGTAACCAGTCATTTCGTTAAACGGATCTCGTCACACCCCAATTATGTGTGACAAAATGACTTCGCTTATAAATATATATCTCTAAAATTGTTATACTAGTAGAGTTTTGGAGGATCAGCCTAAAGCTTTTTTCGAAGTACATAAATTGTTATTAATGTAAATTAAATCTTTGTCCAAACTGTTCCATAGTTGAACAATAGTTTTCATTAAATAAGGCACCAAAAAAATGTCTGGTAAAGAGTTAGTAAGGCTTTGTTTCAAAGTAAGGGTCTAGCTTTTAGCAAAATTGCAGTACCGTACATTTCTATTAGCTAATTTATTTTTTAACAGAACTAATATTATGATCTTGCCAATCACACCTTTCATCAATTATAGGCCTTTTTGATCTGAATCGACAGATTTCAATATTGTCCGTAGAACGGTGTAGCTGATCAGGTAGGCACGACAACTCGCACTGCCCTCCCCCCGGTCCTTCCACACACAGCCCCCCAACCCTCCCCTGAAAATTGTGATTTGCAATTTCCATGAATATGGGCGTTTGGGAGGTAAAGAGTTCCATCAAGAAGGACAAGAATACCTACCTGAATGACCTGGCCGAAAAGGTAGAGAAAGCAGCAACAGACGGACACTTGCAGATTGTACACCAGACAACAGAAACTCTGTCAGGAAGGTTCAGCAAGCCTACTCAACCAGTGAAAGACAAGGAGAGAAGGACTATCTTTTACCCAAAGCGGCAACTTAACCGAGGGAGAGAACACTGTGATCAACTCTTGAACAGACCACCTCCAGAAAACCAACCAGAAATTCTTCCAGCCAGAAAAGACCCCACAATAGTTATGGAATCACCTTCGAGAGAGGAAAATGCGGCAGCTATAACATCAAGGCAGATGGTCCCGGCCATACACCATCGGAGGCCCTTAAGGCAGCTAAAGATACATTATAATGGAAATTCTCTGTGCTCTATTTGAAAAGGTTTGGCAAAAGGAGGAAAAAGAGGGGTAAAGGAAAGGGGAAGGCTGCAAAACTGATTTCAAAACTGCTTGTAGGTACCGCAAACTGGCCGTGCGCCCCCGTGGCGCACTGTCAAGGAGACCAAAAGGAGGAAATACCATCTGACTGGAAGGAAGGTCACCTAATCAAGCTGTAAATGAAAGGAGACCTCAGCAACTGTAACAACTACAGAGGCATATAGTAGAAATAGGACTAAGAAAGTGGCGATGGATGGGACACACCTATTAAGAAAGCCCAACGGAAACATTACAAGACAGTCACTGCAGTGGAACCCACAGGGAGCACGAGGCAGGGGTAGGCCACGTGAACGAGGAGGAGATGCGTGTGGAAAGGGACAAGAGATGAAGCTCACTTGGAACGAGCTTGGAAGGATGGCCCAGGACAGAGATGAATGGAAGGAGCTTGTGTGGCCTATGGGTACCCTGCCAGGGGTGAAAGGCATTGATGATGATTCATTAATCTCAGTCTCACCCCAATCACCCTCAAAACCACTCATTCAAATTATGTAATTATGAAATCCATTTTACACCCTTCTGTCAAATAAAAAGAAACAGATTTGCGGGATTTATGCATCGTTCATTCTGCCATTCAGCAAGGACTGGGAAGTAGCCGTTTTTGCATCGAATTCAATTTCTAGAGCTAGAATCTAGAGATTTTTGAATGTCTGACTATAATATTCAGATACCTCAGTTGTGGTCGGGGCAATGTTCCTGGACTATACTTCATTTGAAAATGCCTTCAAAAGGTACTGCAAGAAAACAGGACAGCTCGACCTTGGCAGTAACCTATTTTGCATTTAGTCAACCCTAAAGCAAAAGCTAAAATCCTTCATGTATGTAGCCTAAACAAAAAAAAATCCGTCCACGCCCCGCTCCCACACGCCTCGTTCACACCTTATTCACGCACGCACGCAAACACACGCACACACACACATACACACGCATGCACGCACGCAACGCACTTTCACTTACTAACACACACACACACACACAAAACACACACACACACACACACACACAACACACACAGACACACGCGCGCGCGCAGGCACGGGTCACTCCATTCGTAAATTATCAACAGTTTATTAATCTCGAGAACGGAAACCGTTCGGAGAAACAGAGTTCAAGTTTATTTTCCCGAACGTTGGGAAAAATAGAACCAGCGCCTTAATAAAATTGTAACCTTACCTTGGTGCAAGCAACACAATCCATGAATATCACCACATTTGGTATAATAATCCATTTAATCGAATTCACTGGCCACAAAAATAATTAATGTACGCAACAAATGAAATAATAAAAATAAACAATAGGCCTAAACAATAAAAAATGGGTAGGCTAAGCTTGAAAATATATTTTAAAAACATATTGTGCACTAGGCCGATATGCGCGAACTGAGTCTATAAAGCTCGGCCAGCCCCGGCCGAACAACCCGGACACTTAACATTTTTAGTCCGGTTGACTCGACCACCCCACCACATCCCTCCAATGCAAGAAGGGCTTCCCCTCGTTCCCGGAATAGACAAAAAACGTCTTTGCCTTCCGTCCCAGGTCATATGACGTAGTAATATAGCATCTGCGCATGTCTATGACCTTATGAGTATGCATAGTTCAAGTTATGGAGACGATGAAAAAATGGTGGACCTACTTTCGATTTACCTGGCTCTGTCGCAAAAAGGAACAAACATTCAGTGAAAACGGGTGAAAGGGAAACAAAACGTGCGAGATTGTTAGCATTACTTAACAAAGATTACATTGGTTTATAAATTAACAAAATATCCGAATAAGATTGGCTTTAAAACGAGTTGGAACAACACTCCCCTAGGCGGGCGGCCGACTTGTCCAGACGGCGAGATGGCCAGACAGTACTGTACTTGGATATGGTCCATGGGTGGTCCCGACTTCTGTGACAGGGAAATTCTAGAATCTAATATAGATTCTAGATCTAGATCTAGTTTTGACCCCAATGACGATTATTTCTGGTTTTAAGTCTAAACGATTACTTTTTGATTTGCGTGCCGATATGGAGAGATAGCCTTTCAAACCTTATTGCAAAACATCAAATCTTGGTCAAATTCAGGGGGGCATGCCCCCCTGAAACACCCCTTGTTTGTTTTTTTTAAGTCAGGGGGGCAAACCCCCCCCCCCCGGCCTTCTGAAAAACAAGTGAAATTTTACAGCTCATTTTGTAGGCTAGATTTTGATACAACATTGATACCGACTATTCAAATCAGTATCGATATTTCAGTAGATCTAGACCTACACAAGTCGGGACCACCATATCCAAGTAGTGCCTTATTTTCGAAGTTGCTATTTCTATGCATGCCCGTACGTACGCATAGCATTGAGGCTAGTGCTGGGCGGCCAGGTTCCCGATTATTGAAAGCTAGGAATCGTAGGAATCGACTCGGAACCCAATTACTTAGATCTACTTTCTAAGGAAGGACTTCCGTAACGAGCGACCACCCCATCAAACACAATAAAGAAGAGGCCTAGACCTAACCCTACCCCTACCCCTAACCCTACCCTTACCCCTACCCCTACCCCTACCCCAAGCCCTCAATTCTGCTCTGTCTCATATTCGAATGATGTGATTTCTTCCAGTGGTTACCTGGTGGTTGGCTCCGAACATCTTCAGTCTTCAGGATTTAGGATAACCCGAAACACTACGAAGAAGCATCAGTCATCAGCATTTATTCTTCAAAAAGAAATTCTAAAAAAGAGGGAAGATTTTAATGATTAAAGGGTATTTTTTTACTTTCCCTCCCGACTAACACTCAGCTACCAGTTGTCTATTTTCTACTAAATATTGATGCGCAGAACACGAATATCAACTTCATTTCCGTCGCAAATATTTGATTGTTCTTAACCAAGATAGACGTGCTTTGGACCAATCGGGGGTACCAGGGGGGCCTGCCCCACTGGGGCAAAAGAAAATCTGGGGGGTTACAGGGGGGCATGCCCCCCTGTCTTTACCCATAATTTGATAGTTTACAGTTAGATTTGAAATTGTCTTGAAAATAATTGATTTGCGACAGTTTTAGTGGCTTATGTGTGATCTGCAGCAAACAGTACAGCAGTTTGACCCCTGAAACAGTGCATCTGTGTGCGGGAGTGAAAGTAAAAATTTACCGATTAAAGTAACTGGTATCCGTTGGTTTACGTAAAGGAAGTGGCTATCCTCACCCGGGGTGAGAATAAAAATACGATCTACCTCTCACCCCGGGTGAGACTTGCCAGCGTAGGCTATTCTCACCCCCGGTGTGAAACAAGACCTGTTTTTCCTCATTTCGGAATACTGTCTATTGGTGTGGATGATCAAATTGATAAAAGCCAAGAAAAAATTACGTTATAGCACAAAAGTAAGCTAATTTTATCGTCTTCAAAGATGCTATGGCTACTTCACTTTTCGAATCAAGCCGAACTACGCGGGTAGCCATTTTGTTTTGCCCGAAAGTTCTCGCAAGATCTACTCCTCCCCTCTCTCTCTCTCTCTCTGTCTCTTTCTGAATACTGTCTATCGGTGTGGACGATCAAATTGATCAAAACAAAGTTTAAAAATGATGTTAAAAAACAAAACTAAATTAATTTGGTCGTCTACAAAGATGCTATGGTTATTTAACTTTCCGAATCGAGCCGAACTACGCGGGTCGCCATTTTGTTTTGCCCGGAAGTTCTCGCGCTACTCCTCTCTCTCTCTTTCTCTCTCTCCACTGCCCACAGACAAAATTGCACGTTTTTAGGCTAACACTAACAGTAGTAATAGATCTAGAACGTTTGTTCACGGCACAGAATTCTACAAAATTCTGTTATCACAGTGTAGAATTCTGTGGTTCTCAGGGTGAACGCTTCACTGGTTGGCCTAGGTTATAACGGTGAACGCCCACAGGTCAAAGTTATAAATAAATAGTGACCAATGACTTTGCAAGTTATCTTGACCTCGTAGAGCGTCCCTTGGCCGAAGATCGTACAACATAGCAAAATAGATCACTCTGCCAAAAAGGTGTCTGCGGAAGTCCGCATATTGGTTCAGATGACGCTGCAGTCTTTGTTTTGAAGCTCTCTTTCGTTTCACCACAGAAGAAGAATAGAGCACAGCTTGTTAGTTTCACTTACTTTTATTATATATTTTCACACAAGTAAGGTAACTCTATTCGCAAAGTCTGCTCTTTTTTTAAGAGGACGCCTCCGAATATTGAGGACACTTTTTTAATTGGCTCAATTTTAGAGGGGTGATCTATCTTGTTATACACACGATCTTTGTCTTGGCCAAGATATCGAGTGACGCTGTCCGGCTGAGCGATTATCAAGGCCGTGAGCATACTTCTCAAAATCTAAGGGCTGTACAAAGGGAGGGCCATACGCCTAGCCACGAGGGTTTGCGTATGGGAGGGAGGGCCATACGCATAGCCACAGGCTATTATTTTTTGGAAGTGGCTATCCTCACCCGGGGTGAGAATAAAAATTAAAAATACGATTGACCTCTCACCCCAGGTGAGGCTTTCTAGCACTGGCTATTCTCACCCGGTGTGAAACAATACATGTTTTTCCTAATTTCGGAATACTGTATAGACTATCAGTGTGGATGATCAACAAATTGACAAAAAAGCAAAGAAAAAAATGACATTATAACCATTATAGCATAAAAGTAAGCTAATTTGATCGTCTACAAGGATGCTACGGCTATTTAACTTTTTGAATCAAGCCGAACTACGCAGGTCGCCATTTTGTTTTGCCTGCAAATTTTCTCAAGATCTACGCCTCCTCTCTCTGTCTCTCTCTCTCTGTCTCTTTCTGAATACTTGTCTATCAGTTTAAACAATCAAATTGACCAAAACAAAAATAAAAATGATGTTAAAACACAAAAGTAAATTAATTTGGTCGTCTACAAAGATGCTACGGCTATTTAATTTTTCTAATCGAGCCGAACTATGCAGGTTACCATTTTGTTTTGTTCTCGCGCTACTCCTCTCCCACCCCCTCTCTCTTTCTCACTGTCCACAGACAAAATTTCTCGTTTTCAACCCAAGAGCGCTCGAAAGTTTGTTCATGGCACAGAATTTTACACTTCTGTTATCACAGTGTAGAATTCTGTGGTTCATGGTGAACGCTACACTGGTTGGACTATCACGGTGAAAACGCACACCGGGTGAGAATAGCCAAAAGGCTCGCCTACGCTGTTTTTGGGTGGCTGCAGTCAGATTTACAACTGTTTCATAGTTATTCTGTTATAATTCAAATTTTGGTGTGTATATTATTTTGAGAAAAAGGGGTGTCGGGATGAGAGCATTTTATTTATAGCATCATATCACAACATGGGATCTTTAAGAATATGTTGGCAGCATGACTAATTAATGGCAAAGCTTTCTTTGATGACTTTAGACCATGCCAACCATTAAAAATAATTCAATTTAATCTAACTCTAACTTACCGTTCAATTTTAATTTTAAACCTTTTTACCCCGTTGAGACGCGAACACCCCGATGTGAGGTAAGCTCACCTCGGAATTCCCCCATTGTGATGTTACTGGTAGACAGAGAGAAGTACAACCGGATGCGCGCACCCGCTATTGCGGCTGCCTTATTTCAAGTGACCAATAAATGCGCTTGGAATAATCATTCAGGGATTTGTAGGTCACATACATTTGCCAAGGGAGTGAGCGAGATGAAAATGGTCGGTCTCCGTTCGAAGCCATTTTGGACAAGGGGGTAGTGAATTCATGATAAATTCTACTAAACTACTACTTGATACAGAACATTCAAATTTGAGGACACCATAGAGGAAGGACTGATCTATTACCTCCTCGACGTTGAAAATCAAGCACCTTATAGTTTTTGGTATACCCGATACGAAAGTGTTTCCGACACCAAAAATGTAGGTTAATTTATGTGTACAAACTTCAACGTCCACATATTATTAGTTTGTCCTATTTTCTGATTGGTTGCCAAGTTTCTTTCACATTGGCCAGAAATAGCGCCGAACGAGTTTGAGAAAGTTAGTCGCTTGCGTTCCGTCCCAGTCCAAAAATGCACCTGCTAACAGGGACCAAAATTTTGCTGCGCGCAGAAGCCAGATTGGCATTGCTACAGTATGCCACCTTCTGGTTTCGTTTCAAATACAAATACGAGGGGGGGGGGGTCAAAAAGTAATGCAAGTTGTTCGTTATTTTGCGCCATTTTGCATCAAATTATATGAAATTCAACTCACAAGTACTTGCACATGTACTTTTGAACTCAAAATGTTAAAATTTAAGTTTCTATGAATTTTGCCTGAATGACCTCGCATCAAAATGGCTGCTATTGAATTTCTTGTTTTAGAAGGAAAATCCACCGGTAGCTTCCAAAAGAGGCTTCAAAATGTTTACAAGGACCAAGCTCTAGATTTTGGCACTGTGTATAGGTGGGTTAGACGTTTGAGCAATGGACCGGAAGAAGAAAGAAGAGGAAGAGGTGCCCATGTGCTTGTCAGACAAGCATATTCCCGAAGAATCAGCTGGAAAAATCATGGCAACTGTGTTTTTGGACGTTCATAGAGTGCCTCTCACAGATTTATTTTTTTTTATCACCACGAGCAAGTCAATTCTGAAGCCAACATTGAAACTAGGGTATTTTGCCATCTGATGAAAATGCATTGAGGCTTGTACTTTGATAAGCCCTCCTGTGTACAATATGAACTACATACTCCTTATGGTGCTACTATTAGAATTGAGTATGAGTGCACTGAATTTTAAATGAACATAAAAATAATGTTGTTCTTGGCAACTAATTTTATTGGTACTAAAATTTGGAGTTCACAGGCAAAAAAGAGCCAGTAAATAATGCTTTCATATACATCAATATTTATGTTTCAGATCACACCCTTGTGTTCCCTGATATTGAGAGCTAAGATGTGAATTTGTGAAACCTTCAGTTTGGTGGCTAGGAAAACATCTTTAATTGACATCTTCATGGCTAACTCTAATTCGGACCCAGAGTTACAGTCTGGCCTGAACTATGATCACTCTGACAATGGAAACAATGGGCGAAGCTTGCTCTCACCCATGGGTCTTGGGGGTCTTGTTCGTGTTCGATCAGCCCCACACATGATGCAACCTGACTCGGAGGAGAATGTCCAAGCCCAATCGGAGGCCGTTTTCCTGAACTATGTGTATCAGAGCTATAGAAATGACAGCGTGAGAACTGATGTGGACAGCACACCAGCTGCTCCTGAACTCATCAATTTTCCTGCTTCTCCAATCACGTAAGTTATTATTTTTTCTGCTGTTGTTTTTGTTAATTTCAGCTTAACTGTATGTTTTTCGACACTTCAGCAATTTTGACACTTCAGCAATTACTTTTATATTTATTATCATTTAAGAAATGGGCTGCTTTAACCTGCCTGTCAGCTAGCCTTTGGCTATAAAGGTTGCTAAGTCTGAGCAATAGAGAAAGCTTTGAATGATCAATAACTCATATTCTCTTTTGTGTGCAAGGTAGAGAAAAGCCTTTAGAACCATAAGACCAGTGATGCCTGTGTTTTTGTTTCTGAAGGGATAGAAGATATCATTATGAGCCCACCTCTTCAGCTGTAGTTGTGAGTTAAGAGCTGTTAAAAATTCTTCGTAAAGCCTTGATGCAAATGATAATCTGAGATCAAGCGTACCAGCTCTATCATCAGGCTCCCTGTATGTCATGTTGAATATATGCTGAGTTGGGAGCTCTATGGTGTGAATGCATTGCTCTACACTTACTATGTTAATGCTGTTTAGGTGTTTAATGTAGTTATTTGTGTTTAAAGTTTGGTTCATAGAATGCTTCCTGTAATGAGAATTATCTCTTTTCTGATATGTTTTTGCGTTTCAAAGTCAGGTCTTTATATATATTTGGAAAATTATAATGTCTGAGCTAATTAATCAAAAAGCTCTTGAATAACAATTTTGCCTTCAGATTTTAATGCAGAAAAGATGCTCAAGGAAAAAAGGAAACTATTGAATGGAGTGGATGGTGTAATCTCTCAAGTTGTAAGATCATCTTTACCTTTTCATTTTTCTTCAACAGTGTCATTTTGCTGGAATGAAAGTCTAGAAATAAATACACTGTATTCGAAAATAACATGTGGGAATGGTTTTTATTAAAACTGAGCGTGATGCGAGTGCTCTAATGCATGTTATAATTCTGGACTCTGTGTTCTTTTTTTTTCTTTCAGACCTGCAGCTGAAATTGGGAGGCAGCTGGCTAGATTAGGTGATCAAATCAATGAAAGATATTCTGATGTCTTTGACGGAATGATTGCTAATCTCAATCTAGATTCAAATAATGAAGATGCCTATGAGGCATTTGCCTGTATTGCTCGAAGGTATAGTGTACTCAATACTATAATACCGTACAATATTTTCATTTCTCTCTCTCTCTCTCTCTCTCTCTCTCTCTCTCTCTCTCTCTC